GAACAAGTATTTTATAATCTGTAAACAAAGGAATTTGCTAGTTCTGTCTCAGCCTCTCATTTGAGTTGTTAAGGAATGGCAGTAAAGGGAAGCAGAAATCTGCCTTTCAGCTGGTGTGCTACAGTTGGTATTGTCCATGCTTTCCTAGAACAATGCATTTGTTTCCCTAGAAAGTGCATAGAAACTTACATATTACATAAACACGATTATTTCAAGGGCACTGTTTCAGGAAGCACTGCTTTCGGATGGATTTTTAAATCTAGCAGGGCATGAACCAAAAGCGGGTGTTCCATAACTTCCTTCTTAATAGCCTGTGCATTTAGACTCCCATTTCTTTTGCTTGTGACTATAAAAGCCTCAAACACCCTGAGGAGAGATGGTTCTCCTTGTTTAGCAAGAAAAAGCAGTCTGGAACAGGGTTTTCAGACTTCCATTACAGCTGCAGAATAAAGATGAGAAATCAGTGTTCCAAGTAAGTGCTTTTACAGGAACAGCAGAGTAGACTCTCTAATGCATTATATGCTAAAGGAAGAAGAAATGTCAGGAAAAGCTAATAATGGTAAGCGTATTTCTCTTTCAGCTTTTCGGGAGAGAATCTTGCTTCCTGTGCTGCATTGTACTGATCAGCTCTAGTATGCGCAGGACAATGCAGAACGTCAACTTAGATTTTTTTTTTTCCCCTTTATTGTTTATACATGGGATTTTTTTTTTTGTTCCAGTTTTCTTACAGACCCCTGTAGGCTACATGTCTTTATTAGGATTAAGTGCACTATTGTGATTTGCATGGGTGAAGAAAATCTAAGTCTCAATTTTGCATTTTTATGGGAAGATAGGGAGGGGGAAAAAAATCCTTACGTTATTGTCCTCTGGGAAATAAGCTGCAGCATTTGAATAGTGCATAGAATTACATCTAAGATTGCATGTCTGTGTGTGGGAGGAATGGCATAGCTGTGCTTTAGAAAAATGACTTAATTTGGGAGTATTTTGTCTTGCCTTTTTTTAATATTTGAACTACCACATTGCTATTTGCTTTCGACTGAGGATGTTGGCTATAGAAACGAAGATTTTTAGCAGTTGATCATGATATGCCTTTAACTGTCTAGTTTCCCAACCTCTGCTATTTTAACCCCCTTGTATATTTGTACTGGCCAATACATTTTTTTGTTGTAAGGAAAAAATATATCTGCTGGTATTATGTATGGCTTTATGCCAAAAGAAGGGTATTTACTCCTTTCATGTAATGCAGGAAGACAAGTAGTCTTTCACTTTTCACTTGCAGATTTTAAATCTTCTTTAGATGGGGCTATGGAGAAGTCTTACTGTTTTTTGTCTCAAATAGTCAAATTAAATGCTGTCTGATGTTAGGGAGGAAAAATATTTTGAGATTGAAAACTGTAGATTTAATAAGAATAATACAAGTAGTGGTGTGAAAAAAAGATTAAGTGACCTAACCCCCCACATTTTTAAAACCTTCTGAAATTATAATTTCATAGTGTTGACCACTTTGTTACCATTGTAGAATTTTGCAGCTGACTTCTGGTTTTAATATATTTTTACAGAATAGCCAGTTTTAGGGAGATGTGAAAGTTAACAACCCTGAAAGGTGTTCCCTAAATGCAGGGTGGGGTTTTTAATGTATTTTGGTGATTCATAACCCCTTATTTTTTTGATAGATTTAAAACTTGAAGTGTAGTAGCTTATATCCAATTGTGTGTGTGTTACTGCTGTTTAATCAGAATTAAAAGGATAAAAAAAAAAATCAGTGCAGTGTAAAACCAAGTGGATCACAGAATCGCAGGCTAGTTGAGGTTGGAAGGGGCTTCTGGAGGTCATCTGGTGTGGCCCCCCCTGCTCAGCAGGGCTGCCTGGAGCCGCTTGCCCAGGACACTGATGCCGGTTTTGGGTTTTGTGTTTTGTGTATTATGTATTTGTTTTGATCCTTAAAAGGAAGACTGGAGGCACGCCTCTGGATTTGGTGCATTTACCCTCTACCATTTGTCTCTGCTTTTCTGTGCTTGCCAACTTTTCTTTTTTTTGCTTCTTTGAGGGTGGTGAAAGAGGCCCTTTAAAGCCAGCCTACTTAAAAGTTCATTTCTCTCCTTTTATTTGCAGAGTACCTAGAATGTCATTAATTACCTTTTTCAGGTTAAAGGGAAAGAGGTTGCTGGTATGGTTCTTCCGGGTTCACGTACGCAGTAATGTATGTCCTGTTTTGAAGAGATCCCTCCTGTGAGATTGCCACCTGCATGAGTCTGTGTGATGGATAGGAGGTTTCATTATTTTCAGATTAATATATGTTGCTTCAGTCACCTGGGGAATGTTGCTTAATTTCTGTTGTTGCATTATTCCGTTTGTGTCTCACATTTGTAAATTCCAACCCTCCTGTGAGGTCTTTTCCATTAATCTTGGAATTGAAGCTGGGCCTTATGTCTTGGTTGGTCTCTTAAATAAGTGTAACTTACACGGTCCTACTGAGAATCCTAGTAACCTTTGAAGGGCTTGGCCAATTTCAGGCAAAACTGAGACCTGGTTGTTTCAAGTTGCTGTGTATTCTGTGAAAGCGGGTGGCACATTTAAAGACAAGCGACTCTTAAATCTCTTAACCAGGAAAGACTGAAGTATGAGCTCAGCTGTTATTAAATGTCAGAGAGCTGGGGGCAAGAGGGGAGGTGTTACAAGCGCCCTAGTGAAATAAAAAAAGCTAGTATTAGTGTTTACCTTTTATTTGATACCATAAATACAATTAGAAAGCAAAATCCTGAAAAGTCAGTCTTTATGCTTCCTCTTCAGTTTGTTGCTTCTTGAGGTGCTAAGAGTTAATAAAGTAGTTGTTTCCATGTTTGCTTTTATGCCTGAGTTAGCAACAGCTCAGAAAAATATCTGATGGTAATTTTTTTTCTGGTAGGCACCTGCTGTGCCCAGGAATAAGGGACTCGCAGTGTGAAGCTGCAGAGCGGTTTGCATTTTCTCTCTGTCTTCAGTGACATTGAGGGGAGTGTGCTATCACGGCTACTGGCAAAAAAAGCAGTTGGATTGTCAGCTTCATTCTCGTGCTGCTGCTCTTACTTTCAGGAATTTGAATTTTGTCATAAGGCCCTTAATTTCCATGAACACTCCCAGCATTAACTCTGCTGTGCACAGAACCTGTCAGCAAGCCTCAGTGGCGTGGGAGCGGTGCTAATTCCCTGAGGTGTGGCTACAAACACCCACTCACCCTTTCAGTTTTGCATAGACAAAGAGTATCTCCAGTTTTGTTTTCCAGGATATATATGCTGATGAATGAAGGAGACGAGATGATTATCTGTTGGTGGAGTAATAAACCTCATTCCAGTTTAAATGGCAGCAGTCAGGATGTGGTGCTTGAGGAAGTGAGAGTAACGTGGTAACTGCGCTCTGAAGTTGTGAAACATGGGCCTACCCGCTTCTGGATCCGTATACTGCTGTGAATTTCTATAACCTTGACAATTCGCAGTTTTTAAATGTGTTGATGTTGGTGTTATTTAGCTTTTCATGTAGGTTACCAGTACCAAAACATTATTGACTTTAATTGTTACAGGAAATTCCGAGTTAAGTGCACAAATAACTGAGTGAATGTTGCCGTGTAATTTAAGGTGGTATAAAGTGAAACAAGTGGTTGAGCCAATTCTAGGAGCTGAGTAATGCCAGAAAGGGAAGAAGTTCTTCTCCTTCCCCGTTCCTGCTCTGGTGTGATGTCCTGCCCGCCGCATCGGCTTAGTTCTTGTGCCATACCCCCTGCCCTGGCAAGTCAGCAGCCAGGTCTCCGAGCAACAGAAAGCACTCTGGTTTGGAGGCTGGGTGTGGAGTGGTGGTGTTTGTTTTGTTCCCCTCAGCCCTAGTATAGTTTTCTGTCAGGTTAGTGAGTTGAATTGGCTTTCTAGAGCAGCCCAGTGAGCCGCAGAAATGGCTCAGAGTAGGCAGCAGGAGCTCAGACCCCAGAATGAGGACAGAGAGGGAGAATGGAGCGCACCGTTGCCCTTTGACTAGGGATAAATTGTTAGATTGGTTCAAGCTCCCTTGTGCAACTTCACCCTACCTATACCCAAGGAAATTGAGCAACATTTGGAGTAATTCCTGTATTTTGAATAGCTTTTCATAAAGATTTTTATTGAATATTTATCTTCCATAACTTTAACAGGGTATGATCCTGCTAGTCTTTAATTTCTTTTTGGCTTATTTACAGTTTGACTATATCTTGCACTTAAGTAACACTGCATTTGCAAATGTTCAAGTGCTTAATAAGCAATTAAGCTTCACTAAACCCAGTGTACAGAATATTATTTATTGTGACCTAATCTTGACAGTGCTTCCTATTGCTTTAGTATTTTGCACTTTATGAATCTCATCACCTAATTAATCCCTATAGCAAGAAAGGAGGGTGGGGGGAAGGATCTATGTTGTTACAGGAGAAGTGAAACACCCAAACTTAGTGTCTCTGAAAATGTTTCATTGCCTAGAAATAACTTTTGAGTAAAAATTGACATATATTTTCTGAAGATATTTAAGTATTTTTTTAGTTTATACCTTGTACAGATCTACTGGATTTTGTTTCTGAGGTTAAGGAAGTTTGGCTTCCTTTCTGAAACCTTTGATATTCAAGAGTGGGTGTTTTATTGCTCCCCTGAGATAAATTCCTTAGAAAGATTTGGCGGGGGGAGGGACCATGACAACCTTTTTAGCATTGCATGTTCATTATCTGACCACCGACTAGCTTGGAGTGAGGAATTGCACTGGCAGCATCACATAGTTATTCTTGTTCCTTACCCTTCCTTTAAAATGAAAGTATTTTGGGAGGATAAATATTTAAAATTTGTGTTTTAAGTTGTTTCTTAAGTTGATTTTTCAGAAATCGAAGAGAAAGCAAAAGATTTAAGGTGAAGGTTTAGAAGTCTTAATGAAAGGATTTATCTAGTCAGGAAGGGCTTGTGATATGTTATTAGAAATAACAATTTATTTTTATTTTTATTTATTTATTTTTTCTTCCCCCCAGGTGATTCATGGCAGGGGACGTGGAAGGGTTTAGCTCCTCCATCCATGACACCAGTGTCTCTGCTGGATTCAGAGCACTGTATGAGGAGGGATTGCTTCTTGATGTCACACTTGTCATTGAAGACCACCAATTTCAGGCCCATAAAGCCCTGCTTGCCACCCAGAGTGATTACTTCAGGATTATGTTCACAGCTGATATGCGAGAACGAGATCAGGACAAAATCCATTTGAAGGGTCTGACAGCTACAGGCTTCAGTCATGTTCTCCAATTCATGTACTATGGAACTATTGAACTGAGTATGAACACTGTTCATGAAATCCTTCAGGCTGCCATGTATGTCCAGCTAATAGAGGTGGTAAAATTTTGCTGCTCTTTTCTGTTAGCCAAAATCTGCCTAGAAAACTGTGCAGAAATTATGAGACTTCTGGATGATTTTGGTGTAAACATCGAAGGAGTCAGGGAAAAATTGGACTCCTTTCTGCTAGAGAATTTTGTGCCGCTCATGTCCAGACCTGACTTCCTGTCATATCTGAGCTTTGAGAAGCTCATGTCTTACTTGGATAATGATCACCTGAGCAGGTTTCCAGAGATAGAGCTGTATGAAGCTGTTCAGGCCTGGCTGCGCCATGATAGAAGACGCTGGAGGCATACGGACACCATCATTCAGAACATCAGGTTTTGTTTGATGACACCATCCAGTGTTTTTGAGAAGGTTGGTGCATTTGAAAAGCAATAGACAGGATTCAGCATTTAGCTAGGGCAGCATGCCATTAAATAGGTAAGATTCCCAAACCAATTAGGAAGAATGAAAAGATAGCATTTATTTTTCTAATAAGCCCATAGAAGACACATGTCTAAAAGTATTGTCGTCTGATTATTAGACAGTACAGTGTCTGGAGACCAGGTGGGTTTACGATACATGTTTTTAAGCGGTTTCATATGGCAAGGACATTTTACAAATAAGGTCACTTGTACCAAGTTTTAATTCAATCGTTATTACTATTTTCCACAAGTTGCTGCTTGCTTTCCAAAGGTTTTAGAGCTGCATACAGTATGTAGGGCATATGTAATGATAATTGTTATCAATATAATCAAAACATAGTGACTGTAGATTTTATGTGTTTTAAATACAGATTTTTAATTATTTATTTATTTACAAATGAAAACTAGCATCTGCTGTTAAATCTGCGGGGTGTTTTTGTTGTTGTATCTTCTGCTGTTACACAGCTGTTGGAAATAAGCCCTGATCCTGCAAAGTTACACATGCATTTGGTTCTACACAAGGCACATAATACAGTCAGAAGTTATTGTCGGTGTGAAATGTATTGATTGACTTTACATACCAGAGGAATCTTTGTAACATGATCTGAAATTCAGCTGATCATTGTATGTATTAAGAGGTTAAAAGAGAACTTGGTTTTTCTCCTGTTATGTTGAAGAATAGACGAAAAAACCCTTTTCTTTCTAGGTCCTGAGAATCTCTGAGTATTTGTCAACAGTAGAGAATTACAAAACTTTGGAAGCAGCTCTCTGGCAGTCTAGTGACAGTAAGGGTGTTCAGGTTGGGAATTACTGAAACTCTGCTGTTTGTTTTAACAATGTTCATTTTGTGTGGTAAGATACAACTATTTTTCACTTCTCGATGAATTAATAGGGTTTAAGACCCTGTGTTTTTGTTGGGCTTCTTACTAATTAATTTCCTATATGTTTTCACTTTGGTATATAGTGAATATATAGATAGGGTTGTATTGGTCTTGGTGGTTTTAAGGGATACTGGCTCATTTAAGCAGCAGTGCTTACACTTATTTGTATTTTAAATTATAAAAGCTATTAATTACTTCAGAGACTAGTGAGTTTTTATATTTTGGATCTTTTTTGTTTGTGTGAATTGAGTAGAGGAAGTAATAATACGTAGAATATATTTATGATCCTATATTAGCCTATAGACATAAAATAAATACCTAAACGTATTTTAGAACAGTAATGTTTATACTGAGTTAAAATATTTCCAACTTGAAAGAGATGAACTCTGCAAGATACTGTGTAGTGTCTTTGTTTTAATAACACTTTAATGTTGTTATTACATCATTTAAGCCCTTCAGTAGGAAGACGGATAGGATTGACAGCGTATTCTTAAGGTCACTCTAATAGGGTAGGAATCGTCTGAAAGAATCTGCTTCAGCTGTTAGAGTTTGTGGGATACAAGTTCAGGCATCAAGGTGTCTTCAGTTAAATTTCTCTAAGTGCAAGTGAAAAGTGTGTATTTGTCTTCAGCATTATGTTTGGGTGTAACTTCTGGAGCTGGTTTTGGTATCGGTGGCATAAATCCTGCATGCAGTCCTTCTCATGTTTTACCTTGACAGGTGCCAAGTGGCCAGCTAGGTACAGCTTCAGGAGAGAAGGTGTTTTCAGCATCACCGTTTATATACCCATGGTTATCTGTGAATGCCCTTTCCATTAATTGTGTGTGGGAACAGGGGTAAGCCAATGCAGATTCTGGAGTGGGACAGTTCAGCCGAGGGAGGAAGTGGAGCTAAATAAGTATGTCATTTGTTGCTGCAGCTAGGAATGTATTTGTGTTTTGCTCTGGCCAGAAGGCATTGAGTAATACAGCATGACAGCTGACAAGGGACAACTGCAGTTGGAGCCAAGATCAAAACATAGACAGAAAACCACACTTTTGTTTTTTTTTTTAATAAAAGAGCGTGTCTGTTAACTGTTCTGGAAGTAACCTGAGGAGAACTCTTTTCTGTGTGTAGAAGGGGGAAAATATTAGTAATACTGCTCTTTTTTTTTTTTGAGATCCACAAACAGAATTCACCCTTTTCCTGAAGCCAGCACATACTTAAAGCTTGTGTGAATGTACCGAATACAATCTGAAGCCGACTCTTACGGTTCAGCGAACTCTGTATTCACTATACACTGGCTGGCTTGTCATGTGTACTCTTATGTAACCTTTATAGTACGCATTTTGAAGGTGCCTGTCATTTTAGTATGTAAATAACTTATATAAATTAACTTTGCAAGCCACAGTAAGAATACTGTTGGCCTCTTAAGCCATTTTATTTCTTACATCATTTTTTGGAAGAGGTTTACAATCTGTGTGGGATGGTGTGCCCTTTTAAAAGGGAATTGATGAGCAAATCTAGATTTATACCTTGAGGCTGATGTATATTTGGACTGAAGGTGCAGGCTGTTTGCTTACTTTAAACAAACAAGAGAGAAAAACGGCTTCTGAAGTATGAATAGATACTCCTTTTGTTCCACAGCCCTTAAAATGGATGTACATGTAAGAGGGAAAATGGAAAGGTAAATGAAGTAAGGATTTGGAGAATAGCTGGAAAGTAAAGGCAACGTGTATAGAGAGGAGCACAGGTTCCACAATCTGTGTTACACTTTCTTTTATTTTAAATGTATGCATGGCTCTTTAAGTCTTGAGGAAGGTTGGAGGTAAAAGTTAGAGGGTGTTTCTTCTAGATCATTGAGTTCATGTCTGTGTTACTGTAGGAAACCATGTCAGGATTTCCCGTCATAGACTGATTAAATTCCAGTTAGTTTCTGTGTACAACTTAGTTTGAAGTGTTATTTCAGAACCTCTGTCCTTGACATCCAAAGGCTTTTTTGGTGTCCAGTCCGAGGGTTTGTTATGGCTAGCTCATGCTGACTGATAAATTCCCAGCTTAAATCAGAAACTAAGTAATCACTAGGTGCACCTAAAGCTTCTGCTTTAGAGGTAGGATGAATAGCATGTCATCTTTGAGTGTGTGCTTTCCTGTGCCTAGAAAATAGTAACTTTTGAAAAGATGTCATTGTAATTTTATGTCATTGTGACTTTACCTTTGATGAATTTGGTGGATTTCTCTCTTTTTTTTTTTCTCCCCTCATTTACTTCCATATCTAGTCATTCATATGTATCTACTTCTACAACTTTGATTGCTGAAGCTTAGAATAAGCAATACCTAGTGGATGAGGTTAGTGGGCCCGTCTTATAGTAAATAGATGCTGCACTTCATATTTTTATGTCTAAAGGTTGTTGCTGAGTTGGATAGGTTTGCTAGCTGTATTTATTATGTCCTGAACATCTCAATTCTGGCTTATAGATAGTTGGCTCCACTCATTTGAGATTAGATTTTAGTTGGATTCCAGCTTGACTGTGGTAATTTCTTTTGCCAGTTTCTAAAAAGGAAGAGCAAAATACTCGATTTGAGGACATTGTTCTTGCTGCACAGAGGCTGTGTCGTCTTGTTTTTACATGGTTAGGCTGGAAGAGGGAAAGTGACTTGTAGCACTTGCAGAACAGCTGTTCAGAGCCCCATGCTGGGACTGATCAGGTTTGTACCAGCCAAAAAGGTGTCACTAAGTTTGTACCAGCCATGAGGTGTCACTAAGTAATGACCCATGCTAGAAAAAGTGAAAGTTGAGTACAGCAGCTTGTGCAATGCTATGTATGCTGATGTTTGGTTGCAAAGTAATTTTGGTTGGTGCTGTTTTAGACAAATAAGTGTGACTTTTTCTATTTGTCTGATTTTTGATCTGGAAAAACAATTGGATAATGTTTGTTGACAGGCTTATAATTGTGCTTAGGGTGTGGCCAGAGATAAGTAGATGTGAAAACAATAGAGATCCTAGTTAGTAGGATTGATGGATCTTTAGTTTTGATTCAGCTTCATCTGTTGTAAAACAGCAATTTTTTTTCAAGGAAGCATTTTCTATCTAGCTGTTGCAGACACCATCATTATTCATTGAAAAGGTGTAGCACAGCTTCTGTATTGAGTTGTTGCTGTTGAGTTTGAGTTGCATCATTTACACATTCAGAATTGGCAGTTTTAGAAAACTTAAGTAAGCACAATTTTATAACCTTTGAAATACTTCTCTGCTTATGTGACTAGAGATGGTAAGTCACATTATGAGCCATCCAGATTTTTCTGTGCGGTTTTTTTACCAGTTCCACAGAAGGAACAAAGCTAATATGTACCCAATGTAATAACCTGTTAAGATTTAGTTACCAGGTGTACAAATAATAGTTGTTTAATTTGGACATTTCAAAAGTAGCCTTTTTTGTGGTTTTGAAAGCTTTATCTTAAAAACCCAAGTAACAAAAATACAAATAGAGTAATAGCTGTAAATGATTGGGGGGCGAGAGGGGGGCGACATGTGCTAAAGGCAGCAAAGCTATATACCAAAGTCAAATCTATGTTACAGAACATTTACCTCGTATGTCATTGCTCTTCCTGCAGTTTATTAATTTGCTTAATTATTGGGGTGGGAGGAGAGAAATTAAGATGATGAACATAACATAGGATACATCTGGTCAATTGTGGGGATCACCTTTCATATTAGAAACCGATGTCTTATATTTTTGGCTTTACTTTTTCATAGAATATAGAGGGAAAATCTGAAACTTGCATAGCTGCTGCAACTAAATAGTATAGCATTCTAATACAGCAGAAAAATAGGTAATGATTAATAGCTGCATGAATTTGGAAAGCCAGCAGTTTTTACTGAGTTTTTCCACTGATACAAAATGAAAAAGAAAAAATGCCCATTTACTATGGCAGGAGGGATAGTGGTGATTTTGGTGAATCATAGAATTACAGAATGGTTTGGGTTGGAAGGGGCCTTAAAGATCATCCAGTTCCAACCTCCCTGCCATGGGCAGGGACACCTTCCACTTGACCAGGTTGCTCAAAGCCTCATCCAGCCTGGCCTTGAACCCTTCCAGGGATGGGGCATCCACAGCTTCTCTGGGCAACCTGTTCCAGTGCCTCACCACCCTCTTCAGGAAGAATTTCTTCCTGATATGTAATCTAACCCTCCCCACTTTCAATTTAAACCCGTTTCCCCTTGTCCTGTCACTACAGGCCCTTGTAAAAAGTCCCCCCCAGCTTCCTTGTAGGCCCCTTCAGGTACTGGAAGGCTGCATTAAGTCTTGATGGTTTTGGTATTGACTACCTCAGAGGTGAGTGGAGAGGTGGATGGTTTTGGTTATTTTCTTCATCATCTGTTTTTGTGGAATGACACATCTGATTTTGGTTATGCTGTTCCCTGTCCGTGTAGCTAAAAGTCTCACTGTGAACCACTCTAACCGGTAGATGATGCAATGAGATAGTTCTCATTGGCATTCTCAGGGGAGCTCTTGCTGTGTCCCAGCAGAACCTCTGTAAGGAGGTTTTGTCCGGAAAATTGAAGAGAAAGGATTGGAAAGAATGTAAAGCATCACATAAGCAAAGCTTTAGCACTTGGATTAAATTGCTTTTTTACAGTAAGACTGGGGTTGGTAAGGCAGTCCAACTGAAACTTTGAGACCCTTCAGCAAGATAGAATAGTCTTTAAGCTTGGAAAATGCTATGAAGGATTTGTATTTTTTTATCAATTCAGAGTTGATGATGTACTCTTGAGAATGCACTTATTTTACTTCAGGGTTCATCGTGGTTAGTGTACATTTCCATCTGTTTTGGGTGTTTTGCAGAAGCATTTTGTGAGTGTTCTCTTGAATCGAGTAGGTTGGTAATTAGGTATATGTTCCTTCCAGAGCTTCTCCATTTGAACCGAACAGGAAAATCAGTCTGTTGATTAAGCACTTAGGTCTTTGTTGATAATTACTTGTTGCTACTTACAGGTAATGGTAGGAGCCTACTTCTAAATGCTGAGGGATTTCCTTCAGCGTATTTTGGGTGTCAGACAGGAATTGCCACAAAAGGCTTGCTGAAGGCTGTGTTCTTTATCTCCTAAAACTAAAATATGTGCACAGCTTATGGTTGTGTTTTAATGCCTAAACAACTAAATTTTAATGCTTCTTTTTTTAATCATTATACACATAAGTAAATAAAGTATTGCAAAATTATTCAGAATTGTAGGTGTTTGAAGGGGTTTCCGTACTATTGGTTGAATAAGACTTTCAAATAATTCTGGAATATTTGACACAGATAGCATGTGAATGTGGGCACACTGACCTGCCTTTGCCTTGTCTTCATCTGCATCAAACAAGCATGAGCAGTCTGCCAACTTTCATATAGGCATATATTAACATTTCTCCTTAGACCATCATGTGAGTCTCGGGAGAGGTACCGCTGCCGCGTGGCAGAGGTTGTGCTGGTGAAAGGCAAGATGCTAGAGACACTGATGTTTTTCCTCAACAGCAAACTGTAGGAAGCCTCAAGGTAGTACCTTTTCTTATCAGAATTTAGACAGTCTACCACACTGTTTTGTGTTACTGTAAGAATTCCTAGTGTTTATATATTTTCATGTTCATCTCTTTAAATTGTCCTTGTAGATAGCTTCCCCTCAAACTTCAGCCTGAAGGAGTTGTTTATAACTGGTAGTTGCATTTACTTCTTGATATCTTTCTGGTTTAAGGATTGAGGCCTTGCTTTGGTGTTAGTGCCTTTGTCAAGATAATGATTAGTAAATTACTAATAGGTTGATTCCCTGTCCCTGAGAGTCTGTCTCTGGAATTAGAGATATTAGTTGTTTCCTTTTTCATGCTCTCATGGGTTGAGATATAGACTATGTGAAGGAGTAGAGTGGTGACGATATATGAGGCTTATTTTAATCCCAGTTTCTGGCTGGCATTTCAATTTCTAGATCTAAAGACAGAGTTGTAAATGTTGAGGGGGGAAAGAAAATCATTCTCCATCTCTGCCAGGCTTTGCTGGCATGCTTCACGTTGTAAGCATGTTGATCCTGTTGTCTTCTATAATCATCCAAGAAAACTTGAAATGCATACAGGTGGAACAAAAACCATAGAATCATAGAATGGTTAGGGTTGGAAGGGACCTTAAAGATCATGTAGTTCCAGCCCCCCTGCCATGGGCAGGGACACCCTCCACATTGTTTAGCTTTTTGTTTAATTTCAAAAATGATAGCTCCAGTTTGGGTATGCATGAAGTAGTTGTGCTGCTTTAGAATTTGAAAGTTACTTTTAAGGATAAAGTAACACATCCATGATTCTTTGTTATTTTAACTTACTGTTTCATTTTTTGTAACTTTAAGTCTTTCTATATTTTACCATTTTTCTGTGCCGTGGGTACTCTGCATCACCCCTCCCTAGTGTATTTTCTGGAATTTACGTTCAGTCTTTTCAGTCAGGCAAGGTATACGAGTTATTCTAACAAATGCCAGATGAGCACATCTCCTGTGTTTGTATGATATATTCTTTATTTGCAACACAAAAATAGGTCTGCTATTCCCCAGAAGAGTTGGGCTTTCTGTGGGTGTTTTAAGTACTGTATGGAAGGAAACTTTTTTTGCTCCATCATCACCCCTGGTAAAAATGGTAGAAGGAAGTTGGGTATTGCCCCGAGAATAACACATGCATTCTGCCTGTGACTGTCCTCTTCCCCCTCCCCCCCAAGCAAAGAGAAGTTGAACTTCTCAAAATAAAGTGGGGGAGAGAAAAACTGTAAATAAAAACATGACATCACCTTAACTCTTGAGCTGTGCGATGGTTTACAATGGTAGGTTAGTATTCAGGGTATTTTGAAAATGTGGTGTGTAAAACAGTCTCAAAATCTGTGTGAATCATGTTCAGTAGTGACAGTTCAGAAGGCTTAAAAATGTTTATCTGACAGCAGTATGTCTTAATTACTGTACAAGGAAGAGTAATGATTAAAAATGTGATGGTACGTGTTTATGGCAGAAGCAACTACTTTATTCACAAGAATGTTCATTTCCAAATTGCTTTTCATAACCCTTAGGTAAGCGGTGGTGGTGGATTTTGTCCCTTGGGAGAGGGAATAGGAGGAGGTGGGGAAACAGGTACTGAAAAAATGCTTCTGGTGTTATCTTATGGTTGCTTTGACATTTCAGAGTAGCCTGACATTTTTTCAGAGCATTGCTTTTCTTTTTGGAGCTGGTGGGAACTAAAGGCATTTGGAGTGTTTGAAAGCAATCCAGTTTTATGTGAAAGAAACTGGGACTTAGGCTCAAATCTGATAGAGGATTTGTGGATTTGGCAATATCTAGCAGGATTTGTGTGGTTTAGAAGTGTTACTCAGAATGCTGTGTTAGACCAGACTGTACAGGAAGAGTTGAAGCCTTTTTGAAGAGAATCTCACGGTGACCTGAGGGCTGCCTGGAGCTGGATTTATGAAAATGTTCAAGGCAGAGATGTGTTTTGGGATCGTCTCAGGACCGGCCTCAGGAACTTAAATTGGCGTAGATAGTAGGAGGGATTCTGGAAAGGTGGATTCCTACAGTCTCCCCACCCCAGCTCCAGTAAAAGTGAGCAGGGTTAGCTCTTTTCAAATCGAGATGGCACATAGAAGGAGCACTTCACTGCTGTGTGGTAACGCAAAGTTTGTAACTCTCACCTGGAAGAAGTGGAAGTTCAAACCTACCTCCACGATTTGCCAAATAAATGCACAACCAAAGATTAGATTGAGATAGATTGAGATGTTTTCCTCTGTTAAAGGCGTTTGTTAACATGGAGATTCACAGAGGGGAACCCATAAGGCAGCCTCCACGGCAAGTGGTTATTGCGATTACGTGTTCTGAAGGAAGAGGTTTGCGTACCTTCTGTTCCCATCCCAATTAATTAATCGTGTGAGCAGAGCCTAGCATTTGTGAATACCTGCTTGGGCTTGGCTGTGAGAATTCAGCAGAAATTAGACTAGGGTAGACCTTGATAAACACGGAAGGGTGTGTGGAATGCTTTTCAAAACTAGGAAAATAGTGCATTTTTAATTTAGGTGCTTCATGGATTAAGCCAAAGATGAACAGAGGCTTTTTTGGGGGAGAAGGAATAATGATTTTTAGACGTGGAGGTTTCACTTGTGCCTAATTCTGGCATAAATTGTGCATGTGAGTATTCTGCTGAAAATGTTAGTCATTGCTGTTAATCACTAAATTGCCTTCTGGATTTTTGGATAACAGTGCATTAGCTTAACCCTCCGTGCACAAATCCAATTGCTGTCAAGATTGCCTGAATGAAACCAAGTTATCTAATCTTCTAATGACACATAGTCATTTAGATTTTCTGGATTGTTTCTCTTGGTCAGAATTTTAATATCTTTTAAATGTATTCATAGGTAAAAACATCAGAGTTTTATCGATACTCCCGGCAGCTGCGACATGAGGTTGACCAAGCCATGAATTACTTTCATAGCGTTCACCAACAGCCTTTGATGGAAATGAAATCGAACAAAATTCGTTCTGCCAAACCCCAGACCGCAGTATTTAGAGGAATGATAGGACACAGTATGGTAAACAGTAAAATTCTTCTCTTGCACAAACCAAGGGTCTGGTGGGAACTAGAGGGTCCTCAAGTACCTTTACGACCAGACTGCCTTGCCATTGTGAATAACTTTGTGTTCCTGTTAGGTGGGGAAGAACTGGGGCCAGATGGTGAGTTTCATGCTTCATCCAAAGTGTTTAGATATGACCCAAGACAGAACACTTGGTTACGAATGGCAGACATGTCTGTTCCACGTTCCGAGTTCGCTGTTGGAGTTATCGGGAGGTACGTTTATGCAGTGGCTGGGAGAACCAGGGATGAAACGTTTTACTCAACTGAACGGTATGATATTACTGAAGATAAATGGGAATTTGTGGATCCCTATCCAGTCAATAAATATGGACACGAAGGGACTGTGCTTGGTAACAAGTTGTATATCACTGGTGGAATTACATCATCTTCAACTTCTAAGCAAGTGTGTGTGTTTGATCCCAGTAAAGAAGGGACAGTAGAGCAGCGAACAAGGAGAACTCAAGTGGTCACTAACTGTTGGGAGAACAAATGCAAAATGAATTACGCAAGATGCTTTCACAAAATGATTTCTTATAATGGTAAGCTGTACGTCTTTGGTGGTGTCTGTGTGATCCTGAGGGCCTCCTTTGAATCTCAAGGATGTCCTTCTACAGAGGTTTATGACCCTGATACCGATCAGTGGACTATATTGGCTTCCATGCCAATTGGTAGGAGTGGTCATGGTGTAGCTGTTCTGGACAAACAGATAATGGTTCTTGGAGGCCTTTGTTACAATGGTCATTACAGTGACTCTATTCTCACCTTTGATCCAGAGGAAAACAAATGGAAAGAAGATGAATATCCGAGGATGCCGTGCAAGCTGGATGGCTTACAAGTCTGCAGCTTGCACTTTCCTGAATATGTGTTGGAACATGTTAGACGTTGCAGCTAAACCAGAATGAACAACTCGGTGAAATACAAAAAGCTATACCTAATTTGTAAAAAAAAAAAACCCCAAACAAACAAACAAAACAACCCCACCAAAAACCAACATAAACCAGTTGAATTTCTTCAGAGACATTACCTTGTGTATAAAAGCAACTGCTAAATGCTTAAGAGAAACACGATGTACAGGGAAAGTATTTACTGAGTTTATTAGAAAAGCCATTGGTTGGTCTGATATTGTAAATGCCTTTTTTTTTTTTTTTAACAAACATAATTGTAAGTAGGGGAAAGAAAAATATATTTTTGAGTGTGGTTATTTTTCTGGTAATGTTTTATGTCCATAATACTCACTTCTCTCTTGTTTTTGTTATGGCCATTATACCACTGTGCTTCTGAAATCAGTTGAGTTAACAAAATCTTTGTGGAAGGAAGAAAGACTTTATTTTCATTTTCTGTTGAGCATCAAATCTCATCATCTATGCTGGGATACAACCACATTTAAAAGAAAAAACTGAACCATTTCTGTATTTTATGTTGTCTTTTCAATGTTTTTCCCATTAATTGCAAAGTGATTCTCAAATCTGCTGCGTGTTTTTGTTTCCCCTTACATATGTTAAAGGATAATCTTAATCCCTTTGCATGACCTTTTTCCTGGTTTTGTATAGTAGTTCCAGTAAATCTGCCAAAATACAAATTACACGTTTTCTACTAAATCGAAAATGAAACATTTTTATATTCGAAACACTATTTCTATGCTGCCTTCTTATTGTCTGCATTGTGTTTGTTGGTGAGTAAAAAATATATACACACACATGCATACACTGTAAAAACTGTATATAAATACATCTTTTTATGTGCAGTTACTATATTATATTTTAACTAGTGCACAGATTCAGCCATATCTGTCAAATTTAAGGTATAGGAGTATCCTTTAATGAGCTAAATAATTCAAAGTTCTCAAGTAACTGGAGGCCTCGTTTGGTATCAAAGTATCTTAGTATATACTGATTGATTCAGTAACTTTAAACTCTTTATATCGATGCTACATGATGATACGTTGGTAAGTTGTTATTATATAAATTATTTTTTAGAAAGTAAACCTATCTTACCTGAGCTTCCTTTATGTTTGAATGTGCTGCCCAGTTTAAATTTCTGTGGAAATGGAAAATGGAAAATGTCAATAGGCAAACGCTCAGCACTGCTTTGACCCACAGTTGGTTTTGGAACTGGATAAACTACAGTTTATTTTCAGTACGTTGCTTGTACTTGTACTTCAATACAAGTATTTTGTTTGTACTCGTATTGAGGTGGTATATTATTTCTAATTGTTGACTGCTATGAACTACTGTGTTTTGAAAATGTGGAGTTGAGTGGTTGGATGCTTAATACCACTTAAAATATTTCTTTTACAAAAAAAGCCTGCACAACTGTAGCTACTGACCTCGGAGTGCCTGAATTGAGATGTGTGGTCCAAGAGGGCTTTGAGTAGCTCCACTGTGTTAACTTGGAGATATTACTGACAGTAGATTGGTAAGAATCATCTGCCAAGACATAAATAATAAAAGTAATTACAGTCTGATTATATTTAATGATGTGAACTTAGCCACTTTTCCAAACCTCCTCTTTAGATTCTAGAAGTTGAAGGCTCACACTTAGTTCAGGTGTGTAGGGGCAAAATGCTGAAACATGCACGTGCATATTTTGTAAAATCTTATGCTGCTGTGTTTCACTTTAAGCAATGGACTTGACTTTATATGCAGCAGTGCTAAACTACTTTATTCAGCATCTTCCAGTCAGTAATCACTGTAGAAGAGGAATGTACAGTACTCAGGGAGTTAAAAAGAATGCACTTACTAAGGGACCAAAATCACCCTAAATTCCTTTTGTTAAAAATAACACCTACTTGCCTAAACTAGGTTTGAAATAATTGATAAAAGTTAAAACAACATGTAAAACTCCTCATACTTGTATTTCAATATTTTTGTAGTAATTATGTGCTGGGTTGAAATGTGAGGATTTGGAGCTATATGGCAAGTTGCCTTTTTTTTTCTTTTTACATTAGACAGGGTTTATTTTCTTTTCTTTCCCTGTGTTTTAACAGAAGGAGAGATTGTATGCCATCGTAGCTGTAGTTGTAAGTTACTTAGGCCAGTAGTGACTGGACCAAATATTGTTTCAGCCTTCTGATGCAGACTAGTTTCCAGTTAAATTTAAGCCTTTTTTAAATCAAAATTCATTTTACTGAAATAGAAATCTAATTTACTTTCTTAATAGCTTAATTTAAGCCACTGTGGCTTACACTGAACCCTCAGTGTCACTGTGAGACTTGTGTGCATATTACCCTGCATGGGTGCAGAGATAAACTGACCCCAGTAGGTGCTGGCAGTGTGCAAGTTAAAGGTTGTACTTTATGTAGTTCATGGAATATTCCAGCACACGGGCGCAAGAAAAAAAAGAAACAACAAGGTGTTTTTAATTGTTTTATTCTTTCTGTCACCAGCTCATTTCTCAAGAATTTTATGGGGCAGCGAAAACTAATCCTGCTTGAGAAGGCTTTCATGGGCAAGTTATGTATGGCATGGAGTTACTTCACTTCTATCTAGGGCCCATCTGGGGAATGGACGTGGTCCTGGATATCTGGTCTTCCATGATTCAGGTGTAGTAAAGAGACATGGCCAAGGCTATTAAAAGTACTGGTAAGGATGAGGGGGTGTCATATTATGTTGCTGAGTTTGCTTTTAAGCACCTTCTGAAATTCTGTGTGCTAAGCAACTGCCACTGAAGTCATGGGTGAGTGTTGACACTTGAAACATGAAGAACCAGATAATTTTTAGGTGCTTTGCTTTTAAGCTTGTATTTGTCTTCAGGTGCCCAGTTCTGAAAGAACTTGTTCAGGATTCTACTAGTAATTATCCTGTGAAATTTTAACTTGAACTGCTGGTTTCAGCTTCCCCGAAGTGTGTCTGGCTTGAGAAGCTGGCTCTAACCTTTCAGAGCATTAGGAATGATTGGAATTTGCTTGGAACATGTGAGGGTATGTGAGAATGTTCTGTTAATTTACATTTCTACTGTGCTTTTATTGTTTCAAACATGAAATATAAAATTAGTTTACATTTTCTTTTCCATTGCAGTGGGACTTTTGAGGCAGTTATTTTTGTTACTTTATATATCAGAGGGATATTTTTTTAATAATAATTGAAAGTTTCTCTTTGTGTTTGCTTTTAGTATTTAGTGTTTAAATAAAAACAAAACTGAACTGTCTAATAAGAATTGCCTATTACTGTCAAATTTTGAGCGTTATGACCAGACTAATAGGAGTTTTAAAAACATTTAAATGCCTCTCATTTGTCAAGGAAAAGGTAAGTTAGTCTTTGATTAGTAAGTTTGGGAGTGGGGTTTCTTCTATTCCTGCCCCACCAGTAACGGGATAACAGCAAATGTCATCTCACCCACCTATTTAAAATGCAATGTGTGAGCTGCTTTTAAACCTGCCTTTTCTTAAAAGGTGGACATAGTGAGTTAGGGTCCAGGGTTTTTTTTTTACATTTACAGCAAAAATGTATCAGCTTGCTATCTTAATTTAACAACTAGCTCCAGGAGGAAAGCTTGTTTTCAAATGTGCCAGAATGGACAGGTAGCACAGCGCTCCTGTAAAGTGGTTGGACACTGCCAGTTCCCATTCTGCGTGATGCTGTATCTGTTTTTAGGGAACAGGTAATTTTTTGCATAGTGCTGCATAAGGAAAAAAATAGCTTGTTGTTTTCCCCACAAAGTGTTGGTAGTACTATCACAGTGGGAGGTATTAGGTGTCATAAAAACCTTTTGAAAAGGTTACCTGCAGCTGGAGGGAGGCAGTACTTGATTTTACAAAGGCTCTGCTAGTCTGGAAAGCAGCGCTAGCGAGGGGCTGGCAGCAGCGTATGAGCTACATGGCCACCTGCGTTTGTTACTTGCCTTTGAAAAGCGTGGGTGCCCTACTTCCTGCAGCGTGGTAGCAGTCCCGCTGTAACTAGCTCTAAGGGTTTGTGACTTGAGCCTTCCTCTGGTTTCTGGGATTTGTAACCGTTTTTTCTTGAGGACCTCCCACCTTACAAGCCGAGGTGATGTGTTTTTCATGCTGATAAAAATATGGTACCTACTTGCGTCAGGGACGAAGCTTCACTTGGCACTCAGGAAGCAAAGGGTAAAATTCATCAGGTACAAATCGAAATCGGTTTAAAAAGAAAAACATTGCTTAACTCACTATGTCCATTCTTTTGCAAAAGGAGACTAAACATTATGTGGAGATGCTAACGGCTCTTTATTACTAAACTTCAAGCTTGTGCCAGCATTTATGACAGTCCTTTTAGAAATAGTTGTATTTGTAGAGCTATTTTGCCTTTTTAATATATTTTTCTTTACGCAAAAAAAAAAAGACAGTGAATTGGGCCTCTGATTCTTTTAACACCTCAAATGTGTACTTCACACAAGCAAGCAGTCCGACATAAAGAAAATTTAAAAACTGCAAGGTACTTCAAAAAGTGCGTGTGTTATTAAAACAGTGCTTAAGTGTTTATAGGTTTGAGGGCATCAAAGAAAGCGTCAGTATAAAAACCTACCTGGTGAAGTTACTTGAATAAGCGTGGTCCATCACGTGTGGCAGGGCTCACTGAAGGAGAGCGGGAAAGAGCAGAACTGGAAAGCACGTGTAACCTATTGAAAACAAAGCTCGCCGGCGTCCTGTAGCTGACATTTTGGTATTTTAATGTTTGTAAACCAATCTGAAGCTGCTTAAAATAAATACTAATGACTACTTTTGCATCTGCATTCTATTTCTGAAAGTTGGTGAGTAACTTTGAAACTTCCATTTGTGTGGGTAGACTTCATAAGACGCGGTTGTATGTGGCAGGTGGCAGAAAACCTGACTTGTTTTGAGCTGAGCTTTCCTGGATTTCCCTCTACTAACTTCTTTTTTTTTTCTTTCCCCTTCCCAAATTTCTATTAATGTTTATATAGTCTTTAAAAATTAACTTCCAAAGATCAATTTCAGATATCTTTGGCTTAATATTAAGTTGGTAGCTAGGG